TAATTTTTTTTTTAGTTTTTCCAAGTTTTTTAAAAATTTTTAAATTTTAAAAAATTTTTTCCAAAAAAAAAAAAAAAAAAAAAAAAAAAGAAATAAAGCTGTGAGTTTTAGCTTTGTGCTGGTTATGAGTTCGGAGATGTTACCCTGCTGGAAACGTTAGAAAACTAAGTTTAATCCAGGATGACCTGATATTGTAAGGCATTGATCCGTTTGCCGTGCTGCTCCAGGGACTTTAAACCGGATCCCAGACGGTTGTCAGCTCAGTCTGAGTTTCACACTCCGAGCAGTAAACCAGGTCAGATAATTCAGAGTCACGCCTTGAGACTCGTGTGTGTGTGATCAGGGTCATCTGGGGGCGATCTCCTGCATCATGGGGGGCAGGTGGATCCCTGGACATGAATCTCTGTGTCTCAGTTTGAACATCAGCTGCTCTTTTTCCTGAGAAAGATTCTGGTTTACTGCCATCTGTCTCTCTAGCGCCACCTTCAGGTCCTGCTGCTCCTTTGAAAACTGCCTAGAAAACGGATAAAGGAAAATTAACAAGCGTATTAACATTTTTTTTTGGTTGTTTTCTGATCATTTTTGCACAAAGCTATTTTGATAATAAACTTCTTCATACGTTTATTAACTTCACAAATTTTTATTAGAAAAATTTAGACTAATCTGTTATAGATTCTTTACATTCGGTGCAAAGTACTACTACAGAAAACCCAAAATTTAGTGTCCTCAAAATGTTACACAAAACTAATAAGAAAATGATGTTCAGTACATAAATGTTATGTTAAGACTGACACAACAATGGGGAACACTCAACATCTGGCCAGCAGAAAGTTAATGACAGCAAACAAAAAGAGGGGAAACCACAAATGATAATTGCTAAAGAATCTGGCTGTTCACAGAGTTGTATCAAAGTATTTCAATGGAAAATCAAAAGGAAGGAAAAACTGTGGTCGACAAAACTGCAGGAGAATTTCTTTTTATTTCCTAATGTATTTACATATTTAAATGTCTACCTCGAGCACAAAGTGGAACAAATGTCAAATTTGCACAAAAAGAGCCTTTGTGTTCTAAATAAATAAATTAAGGTTGCCAATATGAAACTGTGATTATTAACTGACAAGAGACAAAGCTGTTGAATCCTCTTCAACACAAATGTTTTGTTAGTTTAGTTGGAAGTTGGCCTGGCCAGCAGATGGCCCCATATTTACACTTACTGAATGAGGGTCTGGCAGTTGTCTATCCGGACCTTCAGGTCCTCGTTCTGCTGCAGAACGTGGACGATCTGGTCCTCCAGAGACAGATTCTTCTCCACCTGAACAGAGGAAAACCAAACATCTTCAGTGGGACCTTTAAGAGCTCAAGGAGCTACAGTCTTATAACTCTCCGAACCTACCAGCTCATCCATCTGCTGGAGCTTCCTGCTTTGCTCCTGCACACGCTCAGCCTTCATCTCAATCACAAACAGCAAAGACTCCTGCTCAGACTCCCAGAATGCACCTGGGCTGCCATGTTCCTGAGCAATATTGAAGAATTTTTATGGAAAACCTTCAAAATTCTGTGCTTTATTTCCTCCAGCTGTGTTGAAAACTACCTGAATATTTCTTTGCAAATTCTTTTTAAAGGTTGACTCTTCAACTCGTTTCTTCAACTCGTTGTAGACCTGCAGCTCAGCCGTTAACCGCTCCACTTCGGCCTTCAGGTAGAGCACAATTACAAACACAAGCAGAGAAAGTTAGTGAAAACAGACACGATTCTTGGCCTTCCCTTTTTTTATTTTATTCCTCTAATAATTTCTATTTTTTTATTAATTAGAAAATAATTTAAAAACAATGTTCCATGTCAATCTTATCTGTTTTGTAAGTGAAAGTAAACTGTGGAAAGTAAGGATTACATTTAAGATAGAATAATTTCAATTAAAAAGCTACAAGATTTTAATCTTTGAAAAACCACCAATAGTGGGTTATAAACACCACCATCTTTATTTTTTCTCATATTCTGACATTTAGCTTTACTAAAACCTCAATATCAGAGAGGCTTTGTGCCTTTTGTATTAACACAGTTACCTTGAGGATCTCTTCAGTCGCCTGAAACCTTTTTGTCAGTTCAGTTTTCTCCTGTTCATGTTTGGTCTGCAGCTCTGCAAGAAACAACAAGATGTTTATTTTCAGCAACATCACATGATAAAATACACCATGCAAACAGTGTACTGTAGAATGGGTTTCCATACTATTTTCACTGACGTGAAGTGGTGTGGGAAAAGAAAAGAAAAAAACTCCAAGCAGAAACTTTTCAGATAGAAATTTGAAGGGTGTCAATGCAGCAACTCTCTGAAAATCCAAAATAAACTTCCTTTTGTTAGTTACACAAAAAAAAGGAACTTATGTGATGATGAATTTATGTAAGAATGAATATGATGCTGAGTAATGTTAGAGGGCCTGGTTTCTATGGTGATTCTCTCCTTTTAGGAAGCGGGGGAGCGTGTATCATCACTTTATCTGACAAGAAGAGAGAATAAATGTTACGCCTCAAAAAGTCCCTGCCTGAAAACTACAAATTATAAGAAACATATTTCTTAACCAAGGGTGGAAAAACCTTCTGGCAGCGACGCAAGCACATATTTATCTCTAAAGCTGCTCCAGGTGGGAGCAGCTGAGACCTGAAATGTCTTAAAAAGACAATTCAATCTCAGTTTGGAAAAAAAAAAAACCTCAAGAGTTGAAATATACTTGTGGTGAACAACGGATTAAACAGTTTTAACTGCTGATAAAAGTGACAGAGGACACAAATATGGGAAGTGTGGAAGCCTCTACATAGGACATAGGAATAACAGAGAGTTGGCCATTCTAAGGTAAAATCCCAGCGCATACAGTGTTCATGTTTTGTTTTGTTTTTTTCATCCAGACGGCTTCCCGCGCCCCCCCTGCAATGACACGGCACCCCCCCTAGGGGGCGCGCCCCACAGTTTGGGAACCTCTGGCATAGGGTTTACATTTAAAGGTTAAGCAGTGGATATGAAAGTAGTGTCTGAATATTTTAAATGATCAAAAGCTATTTGTGACAATTTCCAATTTCATGGTCAAATGTAAAAAAAAAAAAAAAAAAAAAAAAAAGCCCAACTTTTTCTGACCTGTTTAAAGGTGGTCCAAAGGAGGCTGCACTTTTTCAGTGGTTTGGCTAATCTTCAATTACAGTCCACAAAGAAAATTTCCGATTCATGTTTTGGCTCATCTATTTTTTATTTTTTTTTCTGATGCGTAATGAGTAGTGAACCACAAGTAGTGACAGAGATGGAAGAAAGACACACAGGAACTATGGAGGAATTCTAATGCATTCCTACACGAGACAATTCAAATAAACACAAAGAAGTGTTAACATCCACCCACACAACGGCTTCACAAAGTATTCCCAAAAAATGTGAACCGACAGCCCAGACGTGAAAAATCCACCCCGAGAGGAATGCAAACGGAGAGCAGGACAAATGAATGAATGAAACAAAAACCGTGACACAGTGAATGTTTACCTTCAACATGCCTCTCGTGTTCTTCTACGGCTGATTTACTTTTGCGTTCATGCAGAACGTTCAGATCAGCTGTCGTCTCTGTTCTCACCTGCAGAACCGGAGATGAGTCAGTTCCGTGACAGAATGAAAGACGGGAGAAAAAGAGTGGGAAATTGTGAGTTAAACTATGAAACTGCACAGCAGAAGGCATCTAAACATCTTTTAAAGCAATCTGGATTAATAGTTCTTAATCATTAAACTTTTTCTAGAAGGGTTATTTAAAAACTTGAGAAAAGTGGACAAATTAAGTGACAAAATAGAAAACGGATCCAGTGATTACTGCTGAATCAGGGTTTTTTTTTTTTGTCCGGGTCAGAGCGAGGACGTAGGCAGACAGTAAAACGTGGCTGACAACATAAATCACATGCAGAGTAAACAAACTCCTGGCTGCTAACTCAGAAGATCACATGACTTAAGCTGCAGGATTACAGCAGCTTCTGATTACGGAGCAGAGTCAAGAGCTCCCAGCTTGTTTTCTTGCATACAAACAATCCCATGAAAGGCAAAACTGAAAACCGTGACAGTCGTGACAGGTTTAGAGAAGCAGAAGTCGCTGCAATAGCAGAAATGATAAGGATCTTTTAAATTCAGGAAAAAGCCAAAATGCTGAAAGAAGGAACAAAGGTGCATTAGTTCCACCTATAAATTATAAAAGATCTAAAATAAGATCTTTGTAATGCAGGATTACCTTTACCTGACCATGAAAAATCTAGCGCCGAGAAAAAAAAAAGTTACTTCCTAAAAGACTTGTGCTTTTGCTTTTTTTCCTCAACACTTAACATCCATCAAACACTTGAGATAACTCTTGCTAAGTTTTTTAAATCAATGTGGAAGAAAGTCACACCACCTTCTATGCAAAGTTTTGGGGCATTAATGGCATTAATTGGATTCACATCCAGACTTTAAATAGATCCCTCATTTTGATGTTTTTGGAGCCATTTAGATACTCTTGAGAGACCAAAACTTTCAAAAAGTTTAGATTTTCTCTGATCAGTCCACAGAATAATGTTCTGAATTTTGGAGGCAGGGGGCTCATAAAGATGTTAACATTACCCTCATAAAAACAGGGTCTTGTTTATTTGGGGAGAGGGGTGCGTGGAGAGGGGCTCAATCATGGTTTTGGCCTTGGAACTTCCCCACAGTTAGTTTCTTGTTAAATCTCCCACTGTGACTGAGGCTTACAGTGCTTTAGATGTTCCGGTTGTTTTGAGACCACCTGTATAAGTCGCCGCTCGCTAGCTAGCTAATGCACTATATAGCTACTAAAGGGACTGATTACATCTGTTATCCATTTGTAGACAATGACTCTTGATGACTCAAGATTTGTAGACAATGATTCTTGATATAGTTGGTGGGAGGCCCAGAAGCCTTAGAAACTTTCCTTTTTCAGACTTAAAATGTCACACCACACAACGTTGTTTGTCATTTCTTTTCATTGAGATATGATATATTACTACATTTATTTAAGCATGCTGTCAGACAGATCCTGCTTAAGATATTCTTGATTCAACAGGTCTAACAATCAGCCAGTATTTTCAGTATCAGTGTTTTTTCACCTTATCAAGGATGCTCAGAACAAGTGCGCACACTTCTTCGTCAGTGTGGTGTTTCAGTAGCTCCGCCCTCTCTGAACTCCCATTGGCTGAGAGCACTTCCTTTAAAATCTTCAGCTGCCACTCGAAACGCTCCAGCTGCTTCTCAAGACAAACATCCAGGTCACTAGACGAACGTTTACCTGCGAGGAAACAAACCAGTAAGGAAAAAAAAAGAAACTAAGCAAAGCTACTACCTTGTTCCCATGCACAGCTTATACACGGTCCTTACAGGGTTAGAGAACCACTAGCCCACTTTAAAAAACAAAAACAACAAAAAAATGTTTGTAAAATTAAGGCATTATGAACACAAACATATGAAAGCACTGCAGCTTCAGTTTGAAATTTTTGAATGAAATATCTTCCACATACTAAACCAGTTTATAAAACAGTCATGTTTTTGGTACCATCAAGTTCAACAATGAAGTTATCTGTTAAGATATAAATAATAAAATTTTTTAATTAAAGCTAACATTAAAAGTCATTATAAACTTGCAAACAACCACGCACACGCACACAACATTTAAATATTCCAAACTTTGAACATCAGTCTTCAAGACAACACCATCAAAATCATGTTCACCTGTGGGTTAAACTTAAAGGCATTTTCATTTGTATCTTATTTTATAGGAAGCTTGGACAGAAATGCATGCTTGTCTGAGTTTTGAGAAAATCTTCTATGAATGTTTACTGCGTTCTGTTGGCTTCAGTTGGTTGGATAAATCCTGCAGTCTGTAAGCATTCAGCAGGTCCGGTTAAGTGTACGATTCTCAGTATTTCAGTCATGAAATTGAAAACCAATCTGTCAGAGTGAACACCTGGTCTTTTCAAAATCTGTGATGACTGTGAAATGGTAAACGGTAAGCAGCTTTGTACTTGTATAGCACCTTATGAAGTCCAGAGGACCCCAAAGCGCTTCACAACACACTCATTCACTCATTCACACGCACACTTCCCCAATGAAAATCTGTAATGTGTTACCTGGCTCATATA